GAAGATACATAAACCCACGAGCAATTCCACATATAATATAAAAGCGCTTGGACCAATCTAATAGTTTACTTTGAGTAATAGAACCTGTAAAGTTAATTTGACAGTCAACTTTATGTAAGGCACATATAGTGAAACCATAAATATGATAACAAATGCTTTTACAGTGACACAAACCAAAAATTAACGAATCTAAGCTCTTATTGGGCATGTATTCATATATGAGCATTTTCTCTCCTTGTTGGATACAACAACCAAGAACCTTAACGAGATTTGGTGTTGAAGTTTGGCACACAATATAACTTCATTCTGAAATTCTTTAATTCCTTGATTAGAACTCCGTGAAAGTCGCTTGACAGCAATCTCTTGCCCATTAGGCAAGATACCCTGAAAATTTACATTGTTTGGATGATTGTCAAACTAGCTGGGATATCATTTTTCAGAACAATACTGCATGCTTTCTTGCAATTAACTAACTGGTTATTTCTTTCTCTTTTTTTCCTGAATTGTTATTATATTTTTGGTTGCATGTTTACCTTGTACACAGGTCCAAAACCACCTTGGCCAAGCTTGTTGTCAATGGAGAAGTTATTAGTAGCACTAACTATTACAGCAAAGTCAAAGAAAGGAAGCTCTATATCTCCTTCAGAGACATCAACATGATTTCCTGCTAACAAATGTCTTCTCCTTTTTTGGCTCCACAAAATAAGATAAGGGGAGAAAAAAGTAAAGGCAACAGAGTGAGAGTGTTTACCTTTAAACTTGGTTCTGCTGTTGTAAATATAGAAGGAAGCAAAAGAAAACACCACAGCCATTAAAATAGTACTTGTCATAACAATCACCATCATCTTGTTTCTGTGTACATCTTCCTGTTCAGCTTCAGAACGAAATGAACTTGCAATTAGTATAAACAAAAAATGAGGTTCCCTGAAATAGTTCAAATTATTATTGATAAAAGGTTATACCTGTTTCTGGAGCAGCAAGGCGAATATAAATAACTTGATCAGGATCTGAAATACGTTTCATGTCAATTAGATCTCCAAACCAGATGGCACACCCACTACCTCCTCCGCTGATATCTGAATTAGCATAAGCTGTACAAGAACAATTTTCCCAGCATTTGGCTTTGCACTCTTCAAGTGTCATACTTGCGTTAACCCAAGAATGTGTTGTATCTGGCAATTTCAGCCCACTAAATTTGAGAAAATTGTCTCTTTTTTTAACCTTACAACTCCATGATTCACTACGAATACATCCTTGGGTCCAATCCATTACTTCCCAATTTCTTGGTGATTTTGGCTTGAACCCTTTCAAGCACTGACAAACTGGCGTCTCATCAATGATGCAATTTCCATATGGACCGCAACCATTATATCTATCACAGCTATCCATTGGCAGATAAACGGAAGTGCTCCAACTTTTTTCATTTTCAATCCATATATAGGTCTCAACTGAGTATGTCGTCTGGTTCAAGACCCGCCTTAAAATCAGTGAATCATTTCTAGGAGCATATGTGAAATACACCTCATCCTTGTTAGAGACAAACTTCAAATCATCAATCCAATTTTTCTTCGTTCTAGGGGCACCACTAAATCCAAGACCATTCCAAGGGCCAATTCTAAAATACTCTTTTTGACCCCACCAATAAACTATTTCAGGATAACTGTGAACTACAAGCTCTGCCGTGAAATCTCCAAGTGAGGGGTCATCCCAACTCTTCCATGCAGTGAAACGTCGATTAAGACCAGTTTTCACATCCCAACCTAACTTCATTCCTGGTAAAAGAGTATCAGAAGGATAGTCAAAGCTTTGCCACAAGTAGTTTTGGGGACTCTGGTCTTTCTCATTTCTCATTACTAAGTTTCCTGAGTCTAAAAGCTGTACAATTGGACTCAAGGCCTTTCTTGTTGAATTTGCCAACCAAATAATATTTTCATTTTGGCTAAGAAGCACAAGGTTTCCCTCTGTGTTTAAGCTCAACATTCCTGAATTGTCTCTGATTGGTTTTTCTCGATTGGCTACCCAAACAATAGTTCTACGACGGATTCTTTTGAACCAAATTCCAACATAACGGTTTGTGGAACTACCTGGACTGAAGAAACCCAATTCAAAGATTCCGTCTTTAGACATCAAAGTGGTTGTTCCATCATCAGGAAGTGGCTGAGAACGTGTAATGATGTCAGTTGCAGAGACCAATACAGAGATTGATAGAAGCATATTGGCAAGAACAGGCATAGAAGGAAGGATGGCCATTGCTTTAATGAATGTGATGGCAAATTAAACATATATATTCAAATGATGCAGAAACAATAAGATCTAACAATGACAGAAGAAGCACGTTGGTTGCCCCGATCCCATGTGTCTCGCGCCATAATCTCTTAAATGTCATAGTAAGAAATGGTCTTTTCTTAGGATAATTTCAGGACCATCACATATACGTGCAGTTCGGGGACCACCTCAGCTGAACAAACCCAGTTCAAAGCAAAGCTTCCATCTTTATAAACCTAACTTGCTTTCGGTGCCAATTGCATTAGAGGGAGAGAGAGGGAAACATAATGGATAAGAACTGAGAGTGTTCAGTCACATATGGCCATTGCTTTAAGAATTGTATTTTACAACACATGCATCCACTATTAATTAATTTGACGCAGTTATGTGGGCACCGGCCAGAAGCCAAGGTTGACTTAGTAGGTATCCCATAGCCCTGTAACTATACATTTTAGAGCCTGTTTGGTTTGAGGGGAGGGAAGGGAAGGGAGGGGAGGGAGGGGTAAGGAAGGGGAGGGAAGGTTTTATCCTCACCTTGTTTGGTTTGATTAAAAAGGAGGGGAGGGGAGGGTATTTAATGATCCCTTGTTTGGTTCAAGGAGGGGAGGGGAGGGATAGTAATAATCAATTTACCATTTTACCCTTACATATTAGTTTATGTTTTTTATTGATATATTATATAAATTAATTTACATCTTAATTTAAATTATATAATTTAATAAAAATTCAGTCTTATCATGTTAATATGTGTATTAAAAAATTGTTATAGTAATTTTTTATTCTAATTAATATAATAATATATTTAAAATAATCAAATTAACAAATTTTATATGCTCTAAGAAAAATGAAATTTTATTTTCTTTAGGCTATCTTTTTTTCAGCTTTAAAATATATTTAATTAAATAATATATTTATAAAAAACAATTAATTTTATATATTATAATTTTTTATTTAAAATAATTTTTATAATATATTTTTAATTATAATAATGTATATTTTTTTTTTTTTTACTTAGGATAATATATTTTTTATTGAAATAAATATTATAATAATATATTTTATGGATAGAAGTGAAATATTAAAAAAACCATAAAGGCATAATGGTCCAAAATTTTGGCTCCCCTCCAAAAACCCCCAATTTGAAGAGGAGCCAAAATGGGAGGGAGAGGGGAGGGGAGGGAACATTTTAGCTCCTCTCCCCTCTAAAATTTTTAACCAAATGAGGGGAGGGGCTCATTTTCCCTCCCCTCCCCTGTCTTCCAACCGAACACACCCTTAAGGATCTTCCTTTGTTGTGACAGTGATTGACAGAAATGAACATTAATGCATTAAGGCAAGGCCTTCATTCTGACAATTATCGTTGATTCGTTATCATCATCATCTACCATCATTTTGTCTGATTCTCCTTACGCAAGAGAAATGGGCTTCATAGAGCTAAAAGGAACTAGTAAAGTTTATACCTGAAGTTCATAACCATATGGCCTTTAATTAACCATTCCTCTTCTTCACATTTTGTTCTTAATTTCAACGTAAGAACCAATAATTTTGGGCGCCAACAGGCACAAGATCAGAAGCAGAGATTCCTCAAGGCCGTCGATAGTGATGACTTACTTTATTGGTAAAGGTTGACGTGTCAACCCTTCCCCCCCCCCCCCGGCCCAAGTTAAATGTGGGCTTCAATCCAGCTTTATTCTTTCGGAAAGTACCACTTAATATTTACCACTTCAAGCAATAAATCTCAATCTTAGGATTTTGTTATATAAGTTCAAAGTCTTTTAACATGCTGACTAAGGATTGGCACCCTACCATTTAATTTGTATTTTCGCCAAGCGAAAACGAACACTTGCAACTGGCACAGCATTTTTTTCCCCTCTCCTTGTTAAACCATATTGAGCCAGGTTTGAGTATTATAAAACTTAAATAGGGACAGCTCTCCCAATTTAATTTCCTTCTAAAATTTTGGAGGTATCGTTCGGGACAACGAAGGAAAAAAAAAATGGATTATCAGTTTCATAGGCTTCATAGGGCATAAATTATCTTGTTCGTTAAACTTGCTGCTAGTAGACATGGCTGTGTAGTTGGAATCCCAGGCCACCCGATTCTAATTGGTTCGGAACGGGCCTTCTTCATATTTACATATGAATTAGCATTTACTTGAGTAAATTATGTACTTCTAGTTTTTAACTTATCAACTAATTTTGTCCAGCCACCTTGTTCTAATCAAGAAAGCTCTCAAATTTCACACCATATGAATTACTTTTCTGTGGGGATAGAACCTAAATGGATGAATAATCAGACAAACATAATTAACACATTTCCCCCTTCTTTGTTCGTCTTCCAACTAACATTCTTTTCTGCAGTATGGTTGACAAACCAATCGCAATTAACTAAAATAATTTGGTAAAGACCACATACCAAATTCTGTAATGCAAGAGATGATAAATTATACAATATGTTTAATTTTTCTTTTATATTCCTATGCATTCTCTCTAATTGAACAAATATCAAAAATTTAAATCCCAGCTGACTAAGAGCTACGCAGATTGGCTTACTCTTAAATATTGTGAAAGCAGAAGATAACCCGAGAGGCCTAACGTTTTTATATCTTTGGAGGTGTTGTGTTTGGGGTGGGGGTGGGGACCAACCTCCTTCCAACTAACTTTCCTCCCATGTGGATGGTCGAAAAAAATAGTAATAACTAATAGCTGATGGAACTTGGAAGAAAAAGAATCAAATTTTGGGAAAGCAAGATAAAAGGCTTCAAATACAGCAAGAACATTACTACATGCCAAAACAAAAAAATTTCAGACTCCTGGCCAAGAACACTTTCCTCATTTTGTCATGTAAAAGCAAAAACAAAATGTCATGCACAGGTCACATTTCTTTTGTTCAGGTGTGGAAAAGATCACTGGAATAGCACATAGCAGCATAAAAATGGTAAGCAAGCAACAAGCTAAGTTGAAATCAAACATCCGATTTAAGAGAGTTCTAGTCTATAAAGTAACTGATCCGTTTTCAATAGAAGAAAAAAGGAAAGTTAAAATCTTTCTCTATCTGGCCTCCGGCAGGGTAATAGATAATTCGTTGGTGGAACAAGTGATAAGATCGCCAGATGAGGAAGTTGCTTTGACTGAGATGTTCTTCATTAGGAAACCTGGCTCCTTTGGCCAAGGTAAAGCAATCTCACTGCTCAACATCAATACAATAGATGCCATGTCTGGTCTATCATCAGGATGGTGTTGCACACAAAGAAGACCAATATTGATGCAGCGCAATGCTTCTGACTCAACAACAGAATGCCGCAAGTTTATATCAATCAATTCCAGTGGAATTTCTTCCTTCCACAACCTCCATGCCTTCAAAAATTCAGAACATCCGTCAAATGCCAGTTCATCTTAAAGGTAAAAAATAAAGTTAGACTATTTGCAACTCACATGCCCGATAAGATTAATATTCTCGTTTGGCAAAGACAGCCTTCTGTTTTTTATTCCGCTTACTATCTCCAATACCAATATGCCAAAGCTAAATACATCGGATTTGACGGAAAATAGCCCATCAAAGGCATATTCAGGTGCCATATAACCACTAAAAAGAGTCACAAATGAGTTAATTACATCTTTAATAATGTGTAGATATGCAAGCCAAAATAAAATTAAAAGACACTCACAATGTGCCAGCCACTCTCCTTGTATTTCCTTCGACTTGATCTCCTCCAAATATTCTTGCCATGCCGAAATCAGAAATTTTTGGAGTTAACTCATTGTCCAATAATACATTACTTGCTTTGAGATCCCTGTGGATAATTCTTAATCTAGAATCCTGATGAAGATAAAGAATCCCCCGAGCTATTCCACATATAATGTTATAGCGCTTGGGCCAATCTAGCAATTCACTTTGAGCAGTAGAACCTGAGTTTCAAAGTTATAAAACTCATTGTTATCCAAGATGAAGTTAGGGAAATAGACAAATATGCGGACTAAGAGTTTGGCAAGGACACTAACGAAAAATGAATGAATCTAAGCTCTTATTGGGCATGTATTCATATATGAGCATCTTCTCTTCCCCTTGAATGCAACAACCAAGAACTTTAACAAGATTTCGATGCTGAAGTTTTGCACACAAAACAACTTCGTTCTTAAATTCTTTCAATCCTTGTCCGGATCTTTGTGAAAGCCGCTTGACAGCAATCTCTTGTCCATTTGCCAGTATACCCTAGGAGTTTATATTTTTAATATATCATCAATCGTGATAAACAAGAAGCATAGCACGAAATGTTTTTGCTTTTGTTTAACATGAATATTGCATGTCTACCTTATATACAGGTCCAAAACCACCTTCTCCAAGCTTATTGTCAGTTGAGAAGTCATTAGTAGCACTGGCTACTACAGACAGGTCATAGAAAGGAAGTTCCATGTCGTCTTCTGCGCCTTCATCATTATCTTCTGTTGGCAAAGTTTTTTGTATTTCCACTGGAGTAAACTTGATGAAATTAGGAGCATAAATAAGAAATTTGTTAAATCTTTTGACCAAATAGTCATATGCTAATTAATCATGTCCGGTTCAAACTTACCTTCATTATGAAAAGGAAAAGGAGAAGGCATTTGCACTGAAAAAAAATGCTTACCTTCAGACTTTCTTTGGTTCTTACAAATGAAAAATAAAGTGAAAAACATCACAAGAGCCAAGAAAATGGCAACTGGTATCACAATCACCCTTATCTTCTTTCCATCTGCATCTTCACGGTCAGCTTCACAAATGATTGAACTAATAGTCAGTACACAGAAAAAAGAGGTAGTTATGCTGTCAAAAGATAATGATCATGTGATCTACAAAAGGTTATACCTGTTTCAGGAACAGCAGACCGAATATATAGATCTTGCCCAGCACCTGAAACCTGTCTTATATCATTTAGATCACCAAACCAGATGATGCAACCGCTACCCCCTCTGCTGATATCTGAGTTACCATAAGCAGTACAGGAACAATTTTCCAAGCATTTGGCTTTGCACTCCTCAAGTGTCATAGTTCCATCAACCCAAGAATTTGTGGCATCTGGCAATTTAATCCCACCGAATTTAAGGAAATTATCTCTGTTTTTTACCTTGCAGATCCATGGTTCACTGTGGATACATCCCTGAGTCCAATCCATTGCATCCCAGTTCCGGGATGATTTTGGCTTGAATCCTTTCAGGCATTGGCATACTGGTGACTCACCCATGACGCAATTTCCAAATGGACCACAAAGATTATACTGATCACAATCATCTCTTGGCACAGAAGAAAAGGGCCTCCAACTTTTAGCTTCTTCAATCCATGTGAGACGCTCACGAACATATATTGTTTGATTCATAACAATTCTTGAAATTACTGACTCATGCCTTAGATTGTACATGTAATATACCTCATCCTTGGTGGATACAAATCTGAAATCGAAAACCATATTGTTTCTCAGCTCAGGAGCCCCACTAAAGCGAAGACCATTCCAAGGACCACTCCGGTAATACTTTGTTTGGCCCTTCCATATAATTCCCTCAGGGTTATTATGATTTACAAGCTCCCATATGAAGTCTCCTGGAGATGGGTCATCTGAGCTCTTCCATGCTATTATTCGTCGATTAAGACCAGTTCTCAAGTCCCATCCAAACTTCATTCCTGGCAAAAGGGTGTCAGAAGGATAGTCAAAGCTCTGCCACAAATAGTTCTGAGGATTCTGGTCTTCCTCATCTCTTAGTACCAGGTTTCCGGAGCCTAAAAGTTGTACAATTGGACTTGAGGCCTTTGTTCTTGAATTTGCCAACCAAACGACAGTATGATTCTGGCTGAGAATGGCAAGATGTCCCTCTATGTTTATGCTCAACATGCTAGAGTTGTCTTTGATTGGTTTGTCACGGTTGGCAACCCAGACAACAGTTCTAACTGGGATCTTCTTGTACCAAATTCCAAGATAATGATTTCTCGAGCTACCTGGGCTAAAGAAACCTAGTTCAAAGCTTCCATCTCTGGAAACCAAGGTCCTACCATAAGGAAGCGACTGAAATTGGGCAAGAGTGTCAGTTGCATAAGAAAATCGGGTACAGAATATAAAGAGATTTGTAAGAGCAAGCACATAATGAAGAATGGCCATTGCTCAAATGAAATGGGTTTCACAAGTTAAAGATATACATCCTTGAAGTTGCCGCAGTAATAAGGGAACCAGAAGCATACAGATTACGCAATCAGCTCTTCCAAACCACAAAGGTCAAGTGACGGAGAAACGTTTGTTTGCATCCATTGACTTCATTATCTGCGTCAAGGATAGCTCTGCTAATTCAGGGATGGCACAAGATAGTTGGAATTCATTGTTCAAAATGTAAATATGAATTATCCTCGTTATTGTCATCTATAATAAAATAGGTTCGACTTCCTATTTCTACAGAAATAAATGAAAACAATCATATGATTAATGAAAATCCAGGAATTTTTTCTGACACTCAATTGAATCGTCTGCCATCACGTGGTTCTCTGCTTCCCTATGCAGACGAAAACTAAGTTTTCAACCATAAATGAAAGATAATTTTGTTCCTTAAGATATAATTGTATGAAATTGACTCATTTCCACCCAAAACCTAAATTATATTTCAACTGAAGCCAGATCATATATGAAGGGAAAATTTTTCAGCAGTAAATAGTCATGCTGCAAGTCAAAAGATTTCACGGAAAGTGCCTGTTTCCTACTACAACCCCTAGAGTAATTTTAAGGGTAAAAATTTTAGTCCACAAACAGAGGGGCAACAAGGTAGAGATCCGCATGCCACTAAGTTTTCCTTTGATCTTTTGTTCAATCTGACTGAGCTTTTCTTGGCGAATCATTGTGAACCAAAATTGCAGTCGAAGTAGTCCGGATTAGATCCTGGCCAGTTCACTTAGGACTTCCTCTAACCACAATTTAGACCACTCCGTAAGTTTTAAAATAATAATAATAATAATCTGAGTTCTCGTTGAAGGATTCCCTCTGACCATAATTTCGACCACTCTATAAGCTCAGGTCTCAATCTGAATGTTCAGGCCTTCTTTCTGACATTCGACAATATGATTATCATTATATGTCACCAACTAGTTCTCTGCTTTCCCCTATGCAAAGGAAACTAACTCTTCAATGATAAAGAAAAGTGATAATTTTATTATTTAAGACATAATATTATGACATTCAGACATATGTACTAGACACTTCGATTTTATTCCAATTGAAACCAGATCATATATGAACAGAAAAATTTTGAGAAGCGAATTAGTCATGCTCTAAGTCAGTAGTTTTCCCAGGAAATGCCTGTTTCCTACGCCTTTTCTTAGGACTGATATTTAGAGTAAAATTCTTAGTCCAGAAACAGGAGGGTTACCAGATAGATACATATCTCAATCGTAATTTTTCCTTTGCTGTTCCTTTCAACCTGATTGAGTTTTTCTTTGCCATTAATTTCTGAACCAGTTGCAGTTGGGATATTCAAGACTGAATATTTACCAGATCAGATTAAAAGGGTTCGAGCCTTAAGGCTTAAACCAGAAGCACAACTCAATCATCGAACTAAAATTCAGAATTGATCGAATAAAGAAAATTCATAAAGAATTTAGAACCCCAAATTTACACTTGAAGGTTGACCAACACAACAGTATTAGGCACAAAAGAATAATTCAATTGATCTGATGATATACATGACAGTGTCATTCGAGTTACTTTCCTTTCGTTTTCGTCACAAGCATATGAAAAATCTGCCAAACATGACAAATTCATAAATCAACATCAAAAAAAAAAAATCAGAAGAAATCCTTGAGTTCTTGTTGAAGGACTTCCTCTAACCACAATTTAGAACCCTCCATAAGCTCAGGGCTCAATCTGAACATCAGGACGCAAAATTCCAGCTGACTCAGCGCGCCATCACCATCAAAATCGCCTTCCTGTAACATAGAATGAAGATCCTCATCGCTCAAACCATGTAGCCCCAGCAAAGCGGAATTCCTCTTAAGGCTCTCGAAAGTGATCACCCCTTTATCAGCATCCTTCAACAGATTAAACCCATTGCAAAGCTCGTCAATTAAGCCATCCCCACCAAGCTTTCCGGCCATGATAGGCAGAGAATCTTGGAAATGAGTCTGAGGGTTTTGCGAAGCCATTGAAGAAGAATCAAAGAGATAGAGAGATTAAGTCAAATAGAATACTCAGAGAGATAAGCGATGATAGAACTGAAGGAGAAGATGCATATAAAGAGGAAGAAGGAGGGGGATTGGGTTTTCCAAGAAGGAGGGGGAGACAAAGAAGACAGCTAAGCTACAGGTCACGAAGAAGGAAGGTCGGTCGCGCCATGGACTTCGCGGAAGGTCGCCCAAGGGTAAAATGGTCCCCTCAAGGAAATGAGGGGCTTGCTTTGTCCTTGTCTTCTTTTTTATAAGGAAGTTTCTAGTAATACTCCTCCTGTTCTAATTATAAAACCCAATTGACTTATTTGAGGAGATTAAGGAAGTAAGTTAAATTGGTTATTTATAATAAATAAGTGTTATCATTCCTAAAATATCTTTGCTAATTAAATATATTAGTTAAAACTATCATTATTAGAAGGATTATCTTGGAAAAAAATGCATAAATATAAAAGACAAAATGGATTGGGTCTTATAATTAGGATCAAATAAAAAGTCAAATTGAGTCTTATAATAAGGACAGGAGGAGTACAAACTTTTACGGGTTTCCTTCTTCACGTTTCTCAGTGGGGACCGCTATGGACTCAGTCAGTGTTGACTGATTCTCATGCGTGTTTCTACTGGAGCAATGGCGAACCTAAGATGGGCTTTGGATTTCATTCACCAACCAAAATTCAGAACCGGATTTGATTGCTAATGATGTTTCTGGATTTAATTCCCTTCTAATTCGTTATCATTAAGGTTCAGGGAGGTTAGCTGGTTGCCGAGGGGCATTTTTTAGGCCCCACAAAGAAAATTATCGAGAAGGACCACTGACATTTTGAAATCATGAAATCTGGGTTAAGGTTTTGGTGGGGAATAACAATTTTGGAGCTTAAATTGTTCCCCCCCCCCCTTTTTTTTTAATTTCACTTCACAAAAAGAAAGTGAGTACATGATCAATTAGGCTTCTAGAATGACAGTATTCAATACTTTCATATTTTAGGAAACTAAATATGAAAACTAAAATTAAACGAGTCTAACCGACTTCCAGTTTTTTTTTTTTGGAATCTTTTTATCCAGTATCTGAATAATTGATTAATTCAGATTGATCTTTGCAATCATGATCCCTCGCTTCACAAGTCTAGGGAAAATTCAAACTTAGCTTGTCTGTTTTGTTATATAACTAGTACCTTAAATATTATACCTATTTACTTTACAAAATGAGTTTTACATTTAAAATGACATTGCATGGTTATATTACAAAGTCGAGGTAGCATGCCTTGACCCCAAACAAGCATAATTTCTACTTTTCCTAAAGTGCTTTGGTATCCATCACAAATTCTTCCACGTCTTAAAGGATATGGTTGAGGAAATTTCATTGCGTATGCGTTGTGGAGAGGAAGAATTTGCACAAAGAACATCACTTTCAACGCAGTAGCTATAGATGAACCTTGACTTCTCATGCAATGCATCCATCCATCTACCCCAGACTAATCCATCAGTTCCAATGGCATTCATTCTTCATCAACATTTGAACCCTGAACATAGTGGTCCAATTGTCAATGTCCCAGCATGGAGACTATAAATTCTGCTAACTAATGGAATGCATAATTCTCACTATTTAAATCATTTGATATGTTATTACCCAAAAAAAAAAAAAAGTCATAGGCCTGCTTTGACTTTGGTAACCTTAAAATTACTTTAGTTGTTAATATATATACAGCTCAAAGAAATGTCTACAAATTATGTGCCCATAAGATTCTCATAACATCACTTACAAGTACTTTAACCAAATCGTTACCCATTGAATTAATTGATAATGTCCTTAACTCTTTACGTATTATTAAAAAGTTACAACAAGAATATTATCCATATAAACACAAACACATACTACCTTCGATCTTAATTATAAGAGTCAATTGATTAATTTGAGAAGATTAAGAAAGTAAGTTGAATTAATTATTTGGCTTAAATAGGTGTTGTCTTTCCTAAAATATCCTTGCTAATTAAATTTATTGACTCGAATTATCATTATTAGAAGGATTATTTTGGAAAAAAAATATATAAATATGAGAGACAAAGTAAATTTGGATCTTATATTTAGGACTAAAATAAAAGTTAAACAGAGTCTTATATTAAAGACCGGAGGTAGCACTTTTTTTTTGGGTCAAAATCACATATGCATACTCTACACATGCTCCTTGTTTTTCTTTTTTCTTTTTTTGTGAAATTGTAAGGAAATTCTTTTTTATAGAGACAGAATTCCTCACAATAATTTGCTTGTGCACAGAACCAAAATCCTTCACCCGTTACTTCTTAAATTTATTGAGATTCTTTATATTTAAAAGATAACCACACACCCCGCACATGAAATAGTACATACTAAATACTATGCAATAACAATAACAAGCTTATCTCATTCAGCATTCTTCTCAATCTTTCTCTGTCTTTTTTTTAAAAATGACTACTAATGTTTTTAAATTTAGATTTTTTTTAAATTTTAGATTAAATTCAAATTATAGTTTCCAACATAAAACAAATTAGATTGAGACGAAAGTAAGAAGTTTAAAAAATAAATTTTACTAGGTTATATTTTAAGTAGCAGTGAATATAGCTTCTAAAGTATTTTGCTCATATTTAACCTTTTTTTTTTGGGACCTGGTTCGTCATATTTAACTTGAAGAATAGTTATGTATGTCTTTACAATAAAAGCAGAAAAATATGCGGATTAGATATTCCTGGAGAAAAATAAGACTGATTTAATTTTTTTATAGCTTTCATTAAAATCCGTATTAACAAAAACACATCAAAATTTCCAAATTGCATGTCTCTCCGCATTCTTTGAGGCTAATGAAAGGGACCCAGACATTTCTGCCAACTTTTTACCATATGAATACAAAAATCCTATATGAATGTATAACCCCAAAAAAAAAAACACTAATTATCCTTGTCACTGAAATAATCCAATTTTAAAAATCATCTTGTATCTCTAATACTTAAAAAAAATAAAAATCCATATAACAGGTATTCCAACAAGCGGTAAGAACATTGAAGCTGGATGGAATTTCTTGTGCCATTCTCTGAATCATCTTCCCCCCAGCATGCTTTGAGAAATTTCGTTTTGTGAGAATTGCGTACATCTTTGGTCAAAAGAAGTTGGATCAGGAGAAACATCACTCGTAGTGTAAAAACCAGGGGCTTTTGGCTGTGGCAACAATTTCTCACCATTTAACATTAGAACTACAACTGACATATCAGGCCTATCTTCAGCTCTTTGTTGCACACATAATAGTCCTACTTGTATACATCTTATGACTTCACATTCAATGCAATTTTCCTTTAGACATTCATCCAATAGCTCCAATGTTCTTCCTTGGATCCACAGTCTCCATGCCTAATATCATAGTAAGACCAAAAAAGGAAAAGGTTATTTCCACTTCTATGTTGGGAGAAATTCTTCATGTGGGTAATATGTAATGTTTTTGTGCAGCGAACCAGTGATCCTTCACCAACATCAGTGTTTTAGGTTATGGGGCCTATTCACAAATATTTGTGAGTACTTACTAAATCCTTATAAAACTAGCTAATGCAAAAACTCATAAGGCAGTCAGAATGATGAGTGGGAAACTTTATGCTTTGCCTGTTAAGCTACTGAGAAGTTCTTAAAACACTTGTGAGATATCGGCCAGCTATGCAGAAAGTAGATAAATGCTTATCAACAAGGGTGATTTAGGTGGTGAGATCCATTCAAACTCATTTTCATGGCTTCCTCAGTTCCTCTTGACTCCTGACTTTGCCAACTATCTAAAGTGGTACTTTGAATTAGGTAGTATACTTACATGTCCAAGAAGATTAAGGTAGTATTCTGGGTTTGAAAAGCCTCTGTTCTTCTTCCCACTAACAATTTCTAAAATTATCACACCAAAGCTAAAGACATCGGATTTCGTTGAAAATTGCCCATGCATGGCATATTCAGGAGGTATATATCCACTGAAAGTATAATTTGTGAAGTAAAATAAGTGAGAAAATGAGATTCTACAAAAAGTGATGAATAAACTAAAGATAAGACAACTTACTATGTTCCAACAATTTTGTTAGTGTTGGCCTCAACCTGATCATCCCAAAATGTGCGAGCTAGGCCAAAGTCAGATATTTTTGGATTCATAGAAGTATCTAGCAAAATATTGCTAGTTTTAAGGTCTCTATGAATAATTCTTAATCTGGAATCTATATGAAGATAGACAAGTCCTCGAGCAATTCCATGAATAATATGCCAACGCTTAAGCCAATCCAGCAACTTGCTACGAACTTCATCTGGACATCCAAAACATGTTAGGATGCTATTGGCAATCTCAACAACTATGAAATTTGGCAAAAGTCAAAGTTTCAAACCAAAAATAAAGTGGTCTAAGCTCTTGTTTGGCATATATTCATAAATCAACAATTTCTCTTTCCCCTCAATGCAACAACCAAGAAGCTTCACAAGATTACGGTGCTGAAGTTTTGCTATTAACACGACTTCATTTTTCAACTCTTCTAGCCCTTGACCAGATTTTGTTGATAGCCTTTTTACAGCTAGCTCTTGCCCATCTTGTAGAATACCCTGAAATTCATATTTAGGAGTTCTTGAAATTGTTACAGAGATTATTAAAATGATTGTTTGGATATGGTTATTGTACCTTGTATACTGGTCCAAAGCCACCTTCACCCAGTTTGTTAATGTCAGAAAAATTATCAGTAGCTTTAGCTATGACTGACACATCAAATGTTGGAAGATCCAAGACTTCTTTCGCTAGATTATTGTTGTTGATCATGACAATATCCAGAGTTTCAGAATTGTGAAAAAATATATCCATTTCAAAAGACAAGCATGATAAAACTTACCTGAATCACAAAGTTCTCTTTTCCTTGCAAATAAAGTCAATCCAAGTATCATGAAACCCGTTACAAATATTGCACAGCCAACAGCAATTCCTACTAGCCCCTTCTTGCCAATGCTCCCATGGCCTTCGTCCTTAAAATGATCTGACATTAATAGACGGTGTGAGAATCGTAGTTTCTCCAATTTATTTAAGCACTCCCTTATAGAGAGAAATGGACATCAATTAAAGAAACCCAACATCATAACAATTAGAAGCACCACTATCCACGACCAGTTCAACTTAGAACCTTGTGTTGTTAACATGGACGATTGATTTTCTTGATGTCTTTAACACATTCCCCCCTTCTCCCTCACCATTCTCACCCTCCTTTCATTTTAAGTGAAAATTTGTAGTAAACCGATCAGATACCAGAAAGGGAAAAAATAAAGGATCTGCTGTAAACAATGAAATTACCTAGCTCTGAAGCAGGAACTCGTACATAGAGGTCTTGTCCGCCCTCAAGAAATTGTCTCATGTCAAATAGTTCATCGAACCACATCAAGCAGCCACTTCACCTCGAATATCCAAATTTGAATATGCTGTACAAGAACAGTTTTGCAGACATGTTCTCTTACATTGCTCAAGGGCCATGGTCTTGTTATACCACGAAGAAGAGGTGTCTGGCAACTTGATGCCTTTATACTGCTTAAATCCATCACTGGCATCACAATCCAAAGAAACCCTTCTAGTGCAGCCACCGCTCCAATAAGACACATCCCATTCCTTAAAATTCTTGGGTTCATACCCTCTAAGGCATTCACAAAGAGGATTGTTATTGATGTCGCAGATAGTATTTGCACCACATAAGGCATAGTTGTCACACAGGTCAGGGGCACCAGTGATCATCACCCGCCAGCTGCTCGTTTGAATTACCCACTCAAAACTCTGCCCGATACCTAAAGGGGTCACTATATATCTACAGAAAACTGAATTATTCACAAGATCAAATTTGTAATATGCCTCTTTTTCATTCAACACAAACTCAGGATTTATTACTGGACTAAGAAAATGACTTGAAAATCCCGTGAAAGTGAAGCCATTCCATGGTCCTGCTCTGACCATCGCCTTAGAACCATTCATTAGAAAGCTTTGTGGGTACCCTCTCCGCTTTATTCTGATCACATAATCTCCCCGACCCGGATCATCTGAGCTTTTCCAAGATGACAGAAATTTATCCAAACCCGTTTCTTCATCCCACCCAAGCTTCATTCCTGGCATTAAGGTGTCACAAGGGTGGTCAAAACTCTGCCACAAGATTTGGTCCAACTTACCACTGCCATATCCATTTTTCACCACAAGATTTCCCGAATCCAAGAGTTGAGCAAAAGGGTAATATGGTCTGGCTGAAGAATGATTGGAGGACCACACTGTGTTGTTGTTCGTGGCATCAAGGAGGAGAAGAACTCCTCGATCATTTAACCGTAAAACACCCTTACCCCTATCGTTGCTGAGAGGATTGTCTCGGTTGGCCACCCAGAAGATTGTAGAAGGAGACTTCTTATACCATATCCCTACGTATCGAGCATTTGAAGACCCAGGGGTGAAGAATCCTAGTTCAAAATCCCGGTTTGAGGAAACTAAAGTCTCACCCTCTCTAATCAAGTTTCCTGGGGGGATGCTGTCCCGTGAAGTGAGCGGTTTTATAAACCATAGCAGCAAGGAGAACAGATACATTACTCTGAAACTCTCCATTATTTTGCACATCATGCCCTTGCATCACACACCCAGACCTTAAGAGTCCGCGATATTAATAACTAATATCTCGGAAGCTTTTGTAAGTCAAATGCAACGGTATGAATTTTCCCCAGTTGCGTGTTTTGACCACGTGTGGAAGTTTGACGCTATGTTTGGTGAGGACTAAGAAATGCCCATCTTAGGAGACGAAAGAATTAGAACGGGATCGTTGCATGGGTTCCCACAAAAACAAATAATCGTAATGTTTTATATGTATATATACAAATTTATTGACATATAAAATAAAATATGAAAGGTCCTAACTTTATAATGCATCCCCACCCACAAGGGAGCTTACAATTTAGGCATTCATATTCTTTCTATTAATTGAATCCCTCATCCACTGAAATGCTTTCATCATTGTTCTTCCGCCTCTGTTTAACATATAATAAAATTAAAACTAAAGATGACCAACTAATTCATACGTCGCATCACATCTGTGACATATTCAGTCCATATTACATGAGAAACCTTGATTAAAAACAGAATAGTGTCAGGAAGTTCAAAAGCGCCATGATCCGAAGTGCATTGTATGTGTTCCAAGTGTGACTAAACATTCCACTAGTTAAGACCAAAACAGGATGGAAGAATAACACAAAGTATTTTTAAGACATAGAGAGTTCTATCAAACAAAACATGTGGCGGGCGAGGGATTTTATTCACCCCCAATAGCCTCAATGTCTTCGGTAGCAATTTGCAGTTAACCAGCAATTACAATCAAGCCTAGGCAGATGCATTTTTATCACAGGATTAGCAGAAGATCAAGATAAAATCCTTATTCCTTACAGTAGAGGGGAAGTTCTCTACACTTGTTGAGAAAACTTTTAAAATAAGATACTCCTACATGAATGCATCCTAGTACAACTTCTGACGTGTGGTCTCCCCAAAGCATCTGCCAGCTCAAAGGATATGCATTAAACTAGGCATTGTGAAATATTACCTCTTATGCTTAATATAAGATCTACTTGATTAATTTAGATAAATTAAAAAAATAGTTAAATTAGTTATTTGCTATAAATATGTGTTGTCTTTGTTAAAATTCCTTTACTAACCATGTATATTAATTAGAATTACCATTTAATGAAACATTTAACATGTGTAACTATTACAAGAACTATTTTAGAAAAAATGAATAAATATAAAAAAAAATAGATTAAGATTTTATATTTAGAACCAAATTAAAAATCAAATAAGCTTTTATAATAATAAATAAAGATAGTACGTCAATAATGAAACTGCTACAGGCACTTACATCCCCTCTAATTTGTTAACATAAGGTTTAGGGAGGTGAGCTGCTGGGAAAGGTAAATTTTGTACTTTCTCCTTCAATGCTAAATATAAAAAATATTTTGTAGTACAATTTACATTACAAACTAAATCTTATATTTAGGATTAGAGATAGTAGCTTGAATCACTACTACAAAAAATACATTTAATAGCGGTTAAAATAAGCTTTTTACGGTAGTTTTGAGACTGACGTATATGCCATCGACGTAAAATATAGAGGATTTCACAGCAGTTTAAGAACCGTCGTGATATGTTACTTTTCACGGCGATTATATAAATAACCACCATGAAAATTTTTTTGTTTTTTTAGACTGCGTTTTACCCTACTGATCAAGACGGAACGAGAGAACAAAGCCTCAAAGGAAGTATCTCACCAGCCAGTTAAAAGCATTCTGATGGAGTAATAGCGTCACTTAGCTTTACCTTCAGCCACCAGATCGAAGCAACTAAGATTTAATAAAGATAAAATCAAAGACTCACATCTGCTAAAAATCATATCTCTTTAAACTCAAATTAAATATCATATTTTTTAACTAAAGAAAATAATCATATCAAACCACAAAACTATGAAATTCACAGAAAGAATGGAGGTGAAAACTCACAAATAAGAATGAAGAGGATGAGGCGACGACGACAGCGATAGCGACGACAGTGACAGCGACGGCGACGGCAATGGCAACAGCAACAGCGACAGTGATGGAAGAACATGGCGGAAATGATAAAAGCAATGGATAAACGTGGACAAAAGTAGGAGGAGGGAGAAAACAGAGTGAGGATGATATGGGGAACTATGAGCTTTGATTCTGAAAAGTAAAAACTATTGCGCCGTTGATTTTAAAATTTTTATAGACTTTTTACGGCAGTTATTTAACAAAAAATGCCGTTAAAATACTTTTTACGGCGGTTTTTTAAATAACCGCCTTTAAAAGTCCGCCTATAATTACAGAAATGCCACCGTCATATTTTTTACAATGTTTTTTCTAATAACCACCGTAATTAGCGTCGTGAAAACTCTTTTTTGTAGTAGTGAATTGTTAGTTTTTAAAAAAAATACAATACCCCCAAACATTCTTTTATTATGTCTTAATTACACGGACATCCCTTCTAATTTGATAACATACATTTTAGTATTTTACTCCAAACTATTAATATCATTAAAGAATATTCTAAAAACTTTCTTTTAAGTATATTTTCTAATTAAAAATCATATTAGAATAAATATTTTTTACTACTTTACCTCTCATTATACTAAATCTCTAGTTTATCTTTTAATATAATATTCATTAATGATCTATTAATATTTTTATTAAATTTACTAAATTAACGCATAACTTTATAATTTAATTGAAAACACATATATACAATTACAAAACATTTTTAGCTAATATATATTTAAAAAATTACATCATAAATCATTTTTAATCAATAAAAAAAATTAAGCTTTTAAATCTATTATAAAATAAAAATTTGTATTTATAAAATTAATTAAATTTATAATATGGTAATCGATTTAATAGTATAACAAAAATATTCAAATATCTATTAAAATTGTTTTTTAATTTTAAATAAAGATATATCATATGTGGTTAAATAATAATTATTAAGTAATACTTGCATTAAGGTGGGCATTTTGGTTAAAATTATGGGTTAACCATATTATTTAACGGTCAACTGATGATTTTTTTTACCAGTAGTCAACTAACGATTAGATAAATAGAAGTTGAATCTCAAAAATAGTCTATACAACATATATTTTGATTTTAAGGGAGCTTCGTATATGTATTCAGAGTAAAAGAGATGTCTCTATAATTTAGATTAAATAAAAAGAAGGTTAATGTATTTTACTCTCTCTTTTTTTTCTGACTTCAATCTTCACTCATTCTCTCTCATCTCTTTTTTTCATTTTCTTTCTCGCTGCAACTCACACTTTCTATAAATAAGGATGTTTTGAACTGCTTTTCTCAATTTCTTACATATTTATTGTTTTTAATCAATTTTTTATTTGCATAATTTAATTGTTTGAATCTTATAAAAAGCACAGAAGCACATATTTTAGAGGAGTAAATATGAAAACTAAAATTAATGAATCTAACAATTCAATGACCAAATTACTGGCTTATATACTGCATAATTAGTTATGGAGCAGAGCTAGCATTCCCAGAATGTTCTGGTGTTCATAACAAAATCTTCCACGTCTTGAAAATAATGAGTGGGGAAATTTCATTGTGTATGAGCGTTTTAGAGAGGAAGAACGTCCCTTTCAACTAGTAGCTTTAGCTGACCTTGACTTGTCATGGAATGTATCCATCCATCTACCCCGAACTAATCCACTGAAAGTATAATTTGTGAAGTAGAATGAGTGAAAAAATGAGTTCCTACGAAAAAGTGATAAATAAGTTGGAGATCAAACAACTTACTATGTTCCGGCAATTTTGTTCGTGTTGGCCTCAACTTGATCATCCCAAAATATGCGAGCTAGGCCAAAGTCAAATATTTTTGGATCTATAGAAGTATCTAGTAAAATATTGCTGGTTTTAAGGTCTCTATGAATAATTCTTAATTTGAAATCTATATGAAGATAGACAAGTCTTCAAGCAATTCCATGAATAATATGCCAATGCTTGACCCAACCAACAAGTTGCTACGAGTTTCATCTGGACATAAAAACATGTTAGAATACTACTTGCAAACTCAACAACTTGAAGATTTGACAAAGGCTTAGAGTTTTCAAACCAAAAATAAAGTAGTCCAAGCTCTTGTTTGGCATATATTCATAAATCAATAACTTCTTGTCTCCTTCAATACAGCAACCAAGAAGTTTCACAAGATTACGGTGCTGAACTTTTACTATCAACACAACTTCATTTTTCAACTCTTCCGGCCTTTGACCAGATTTTGTTGATAACCTTTTCACAGATAACTCTTGCCCGTCTTCTAGAGTACCCTAAAAATTATATTTGAGAGTTCTTAATTTTTAGAATACTTCTCGAGATGATATAGCATCATTGTTTGAATATGGTTATAGTACCTTGTATATTGGCCCAAAGCCACCTTCACCCCATTTGTTAGTGGCAGAAAAATTATCAGTAGCCTTAGCTATGATTGACAGATCAAATGTTGGAATATCCACGTCTTCCTTGCCCAGATTATTGTTATTGAACGTGACAATATTTAGAATTTTAGAATTGTGACAAAGTACATCCTTGTTAAAAGACAAGCATGCCAAAATTTACCTGAATTTCGAGGTTTCCTTTTCCTTGCAATTAAAGTCAATCCAAGAATCATGATGCTCGCTACAAATATCGCACAGCCAACTACGTTTCCTACTAGCTTCTTCTTGCCTTCATCCCTAAAATGATCTGACACCAATAGACAGTGAAAGAAACAATCAACTTCAAGGAAAACATCTCTATTAAAGGCATCGGCGAATATTCAATTGTGACTAGTGGTGCTTCAAGGTTGGTTACAAAAAAATAATAATAGTAGTAGTAGACCAATCAGATGCTAGAAAGGGGAAAAATAAAGGAAATGCAGTAATCAAAAGAATAAAACTGAGCACCTAGCTCTAAAGCAGAAACTCGTACATAGAGGTCTCGTCCCCCTGCAGGAAATTGTCTCATGTCCAATAGTTGATAAACCATAGGAGGCAGCCACTTCCTTCACCTCGCATATCCAAATTTGAATATGCTAGACAAGAGCAGTTTTGTAGACATGTCCTCTTACATTCCCCAAGAACCATGGTCTTGTTATACCATGAAGAAGAGGCGTCTGGCAACTTGACTCCCGCATACTGCTTAAATCCATCACTTCAAAGAAACGCTTCTAGTGCAGCCATTGCTCCAATCCAACAGATTCCATTCCTTAAAATTCTTGGGTTCATACCCTCTCAGGCATTCACAAAGGACTGTTGCTGATGTTGCATATAGAATTTGCTCCACACAAGGCATAATTTGCACATTGACCAGGGGGGCAGGGTTCATTAACTGCCAGCTGCTTGTTTTAATTAACCAATCAAAACGCTGCCCAATCCCTGATGGGGTCACTGTAAATCTAGAGAAAATCGAATGATTTATCAGCTCAAACTTAAAATACACCACTTTTTCATTCAACACAAACACATTAATTACTACTCGATCCGGATTTTGATTTGGAAGCCCCGTAAAAGAGAAGCCATTCATTCCATGAACCAGCTCTAACCCTCACTTCGGAACCTCTCAGTTCAACGAATTATGGATACCCTTTAAGGTCTATTTTGATTTTGTAATCTCCTTGACCTGGATCATCTGAGCTTTTCCAAGACAGAGTTATATCCAGACCTGTTTCTTGATCCATCCAAGCTTCATTCCTGCTATCCAAGATTCCAAGTGTCACAAGGATAGTCAAACCCTGCCATAATTGGTCCGAGTTACTACAACTACCACCATCATATCCATTTTTTACCACAAGATTTCCCGAATCCAGGAGTTGAGCAAAAGGGTTATACGCTCTGATGGATGAATTGTTGGATGACCACACTGTGTTGTTTTTGGCATCAAGAAGAAGAAGAATCCCATGATCATTTAATTATAAAATGCCTTTTCCACTATCGTTTTTTATGGGTGTGTTTCGGTTGGCTACCCAGAAGACTGTCGAAGGAGATTTCTTGTACCATTTCCCTAAGTATCTAATAGATGAAGACCCAGGCCTGAAGGATCCTGGTTCAGAAAACCCATCTGTGGAAACTAAAGTCTCGCCACCTCTAATCAAGTTTCCTGGAGTGATACTGTCTTGTGCAGTGAGTGTTCTTATGGAGCATAGCAGAAAGGAGTAAAGATACAGAACTCCGAAACTCTCCATTATTCTTTTTACCGAGAGACCTTGTATGATCCGCAAAAAGAATTGAAGAGTCCGGGATATTAACTGGGAAGACTTGATCGAAGTCAAAACTAACGGCTTGACCTGTTTTGATCAAATATGGAAGTTCAGCGTCATGTTTAGTCCCAAGTTACAACTACGAAATCTCTTTTGACCAGCACAACCAAGTAATGTATCAAGGCAAATCTGCTGGTGTTACGAAAGAATTAGAGGAATAGGATAGTTGGTCCATACCCTTTTTAAAACAAAAAAAACAAAAAAAAGGCTAAACTAATCGTAATTTTAAATACATCGGATATCCCCAAAGGGACATTTGTTTAAATGCATAAATATAGAAAATGAGAAGAATGACGGCGTAAAAAAGGAGAACAATCCTAAGTTGAGAGATATGACTAAATGACCCAAATGAAGTCTGGGAAACACAAGTTAACGCTTGAATCATGCATTTGGATTAGCAGTTAAAAAAAAAACTTATTTTTAATCTGACTTTTAAAAAAGTCATATTAAATAAAAATTAGATTGGGTAATATAATTTATGTTTGAATTGACTTTTGTAAAAAGTTAATTTATAAAGTTGAAAAGTTGTTTAGATTATGATTAAATAAGTAAATTTAGTTTATAGAATGACCAAAATAGATATGAATTTTATTAAATAATAAAAAAGATTAAAAATATGAATCTATAAAATATAATAATTTTAAATTATTATAATATGAAAAAGTTATATTTAATGAATAAAATATATTTAAATTAGAAATCATAATAATGTGAAAAAATTTTAACCGAATAATATTATATAATTAATTAGATGATATACTCTGCATAATTTATGTAAATAAAAAATAAAGAAAGATTAAAAATTAAAATATTATAAAAACTGTTAAAATTATTTTTAGTTAAGAGAATATTAAAAATAAATAACTAAAAACTAATTGAAAAGCAAATATATATATATAGAGAAAAGCATAAGAATAAGATAAACATAAGGGCAAAAATATCTTTTAATTTTAAAAAGCTACTTTTGTATAGGTCATAAATAAGTTTTAGGTCATAAATAAGTTTTAGGTGATTTTACAATTGTACTTCAAAAAACAGTTTTTGACCTCTAAGTCAGATTGATCAAAAACTGTGACAGACAGCTCTCAAATTTACAAATTGACTTATCATACTTATAAATTACTTTTTTCTCTCCCAAACGTCTTACCAAACAAGCTGATAATCAAACACAAATTGCAGAGACCACGGGAGGACAAGATTGATGTATTAACTTAATTGATGTTTAATTAGAAAAGTCGGATCTTAGAATGATCCGGACAATATAAATCAAGTGCCTAGACCACACGGAATACAAAATTGGAAAAACTGCCCCAAAAAATAAAAAGGAATTTGTTGTACGATTTATTGGCTAAAAACATCTAAGAGCCAATGTCCTTGAATGGATACAATTTTTCTTTAACTATTTGTAAAATATGTTCAACTATACATAAATGTATTTTATTTTTCCACTTTCAATTTAATCATATAAATCCTGTTGCTTGTATATCGTTTGACTCTGAATAGTTTATTTTGCAATGAATATTATCCATTTCATTCAAAAAATATATTTTATTTTGCACATAATTAAATATAAGTAATACATAACTTTAAAATAGCCTACTTATTGAAGACAAATTGCACAGAAGTACTTAATTAAATAAATTTCAAGTATTTTTGGGTAATAAATTTTGTAATGAGAAATTTTTCAATAAATTTTCTAAAAAAATTTGCTGCAAGCCTCATGAAGTTTAAGCGACAAAAACATTGTGTGAAACATAAATTACTGCCCGTACAATTCATCCCCACATATAACGGAGTTTTCCATTTACCTATTCATTGGAATATATTGTTCTTATGCCTCTGTTTGAAATACAGTAATTTTCTTTTTTGCCAACAAGATATAATAAGGTTAAAACTAAAGAATCCTAACTAATTTAACGTCACATTACAACTGGGACACACAATCCATATGAAATAACAAACCTAAGATTAAAAAGTGGTAAGAACACTGAAGTTGGGTGGTATTTTCTTCTCTGGAATCTGAATCACCTTCCGTCTAGCATGGTTTGAGAAATTTCATTTTGTGAGAACTGTGTGAATATTTGGTGTAATGAACTTGAACCAACGAGGACATCACTTGCAGTGTAAAAACCAGGAACTTTTGGTTGTGGCAACAATTTCTCACCATTTAACATAAGAATTACAGTTGACATATCTGGCCTATCTTCAGCTCTTTGTTGCACACATAATAGTCCTACCTGTACACATCTTACGACTTCAAATTGACTACAACTTTCCTTTAAACATTCATCCAGTAGCTCCAATGGTCTTCCTTGGATCCACAGTCTCCATGCCTAACATCATAGTAATACCAAAAAAAAGTAAATTTCTATCTCAAATTTTATGCTGGGAGAAATTCATAATACTTTTAATATGCCATGTTTCGTGCAATGAGCCAATGATCCTTCACCAAGATAAGTGTTTTAGGTGATGGGCCTATTCACAGATATTTGGGTGAGTTCTTATTAAATCTACAAAGACTTCTAGTGAAATGAGAATAATGAGTAGGAAACTGTACTTTGCTTATAAAAGCTATTGAGAAATTCTCAAAACATTAGTCAAATACAAATCAGATAGAGAGAAGGTAGATAAATGCTGGCCAACATGGGTGACTCATGTGGGGAGATTCATCCACACAGTCGGTTTTCATGAGTTCCTACTGGCTCCTTACTTTGCCAACTAGTTAAAGAAGTGCGTTGAATTAAGAAGTATACTTACATGTCCAAGAAGATTGAGATAAGGGTGAGAAAACTCTCTGTTCTTCTTTCCACTAATAATTTCTAGTACTATTACACCAAAGCTAAAGACATCTGATTTCATTGAAAATTGTCCACGCACAGCATATTCAAGAGGCATATATCCACTGGAAGTATGATTTGTGAAGTAAAATAAGTGAGAAAATGAGATCCTACGGAAAGGGATAAATAAGTTGAAGGTAAAACAACTTACTATGTTCCAACAACTTTGTTAGTATTGGCGACCACTTGATCATCCCAAAATATGCGAGCAAGGCCAAAGTCAGATATTTTTGGATTCATGTAAGCATCTAGAAGAATATTGCTGGTTTTAAGATCTCTATGAATAATTCTTAATCTGGAATCTATATGAAGATATACAAGTCCTCGAGCAATGCCATGAATGATATGCCAACGCTTAAGCCAGTCCAACAAGTTGCTACAACTTTCATCTGGAGATCAAAGACATGTTAGAATACTACTTACAGTCTCCACAACTTGGAAATTTGACAAAGGCTTAGAGTTTCCAACCAAAAATAAAGTGATCCAAGCTCTTGTTTGGCATATACTCGTAAATCAGCAACTTTTCTTCTCCTTCAATGCAGCAACCAAGAAGCTTCACAAGATTACGGTGTTGAAGTTTTGCTATCAATAGAACTTCATTTTTCAACTCTTCCAACCCCTGATCAGATTTTGTGGACAACCTTTTCACAGCTAATTCTTGGCCATCTTCTAGAATACCCTAAAAATCATATTTCATAGCCTTTGAAATTCTTATAAATATAATATAAAATCTTTGTTTGGATATGATTATAGTACCTTGTATACAGGCCCAAAGCCACCTTCACCCAATTTGTTAACGGTAGAAAAATTATCAGTGGCCTTCATTATGACTGACAAATCAAATGTTGGAAGATCCATGCCCTCCTCCACTAGATTGTTGTTGATCATAACAATATTCAGAGTTTTAGAACAGTGACAAAACATATTCATTTGAAAAGTTAAGCATTTACCCGAATCTTGAAGTCTCCTTTTCCTTGCAATTAAAGTCAATCCAAAAATCATAAAACTTGATACGAATATTGCACAGCCAACCACAATTGCCACTATCTCCTTCTTGCCAATGCTTCCATGGCCTTCATCCCGAAAATGATCTGATACTAACGGACTGTGAGAAATCATCAACTTCAAGTAAAACGTCTCAATCAAAGGCATCAACTAATATAGAATTGTGACAAGAGATGCTCCCAATTGGTTAAAAAAAGGAATATATATTTACAGAATAGTACATTTTCTCATTTATTTAAGCACTCTTTCATAGAGAGAACTGGATATCAATTCAGGAAACACAATAGCATAACAATTAGAAGCACCACAATCCAACCACAATTTACGTATAAACTCATAGTAAACTGATCAGAAACCAGAGACGGGAAAAGTAAAGGATATGCTGTAAACAAGACAACAAAAGTACCTAGCTCTGAAGCAGGAACTCGTACATAGAGGTCTTGTCCACCGTCAAGAAATTGTCTCATGTCAACTAGTTGATCAAGCCATATCAAGCAGCCACTTCCTTCACCTCGAACATCCAAACTTGCATATGCTGTACAAGAACAGTTTTGCAGACATGTTCTCTTGCATTCCTCAAGGGCCATGGTCATGTTATACCATGAAGATGACGTGTCTGGCAGCTTAACGCCTGTATACTGCTTAAATCCATCGCTAGCATCACAATTCAAAGAAACCCTTCTAGTGCAGCCACTGTTCCAATCAGACACATTCCATTCCTTAAAATTCTTGGGTTCCCTCTTAGGCATTCGCAAACAGGATTGCTACTGATGTCGCAGATAGAATTTGCACCACATAATGCATAATTGTCACACGAGTCAGGAAGAGCAGTGTTCATCACCCGCCAGCTGCTTGTTTGAATTACCCAATCAAAACGCTGCCCTATGCCTGAAGGGGTCATTATATATCTAGAGAAAATTGAATTATTTATAAGACTACTCTTGTAATATGCCTCTTTTTCATTCAACACAGTCCAGTTTTTCAACTGGATCCGGACTATGTTTTGAATATCCCGTGAAAGAGACGCCATTCCATGACCCTGCTCTAACTATCACCTTGGAACCACTCAGTTGAAAGATTTGTGGGTACCCTCTACGGTCTAGTTTCATTACGTAGTCTCCCTGACCTGGATCATCTGAACTTTTCCAAGATGACAGAAATTTATCCAAACCCGTTTCTTCATCCCACCCAAGCTTCATTCCCGGCATTAAGGTGTCACAAGGGTGGTCAAAACTCTGCCATAAGAGTTGGTCAAAGTCACCACTGTCACCACCACCATATCCATTTTTCACCACGAGATTTCCCGAATCCAAGAGTTGAGCAAAAGTATTATATGCTCTGATTGATGAATGATTGGAGTACCACACGGTGTTGTTGTTTGTGGCATCAAGAAGGAGGAGAACTCCTCGATCATTTAACCGTAAGACACCCTTACCCCTATCGTTGTTGAGAGGTTTGTCTCGGTTGGCCACCCAGAAGATTGTAGACGGAGACTTCTTATACCATATCCCTAAATACCGGGCGTTTGCAGACCCAGGGCGGAAGAATCCAAATTCAAAATCCCCATTTGAGGAAACTAAAGTCTCGCCCTCTCTAATCAAGTTTCCGGGAGTGATGCTGTCTTGTGAAGTGAGCGGTTTTATAAAGCATAGCAGCAAGAAGTACAGATACATCACTCTGAAACTCTCCATCATTTTGCATATCGAGACCTTGCATCACCCACCCAGATGCCAGGCCACAAGAGTCAGGGGTATTTAATATCTCGGAAGCTTTTGTGAAGTCAGATGTAACGGTATGAATTTTCAATTTTCCCTTGTCCCGTGTTTTTGACCACTTCGACCAAGTGTGCAAGTTTGACATTATGATTATGCTTGGGGAGAACCACGAAACGAACATCTTAGGCGATTTCTTTTAGTCTACGCCATAACCACTGGTAAATTAGGACAGGATAGTTGCAGAGGTCCGCACAAAAAATAAAATAATCGTATTGTTTTATATGCATGTATAGACCAGAAACTCATACAACAAATATAAAATAGTGACAAGTAGATAAAATAAAATATAAAAGGTTCTGACTTTACAATTCATCCCCACACACAGAAGAGCTTACAATTTAGTCATTCATATTCTTTCTATTAATTTAACCCCCCATTCGTTGAAATGTTTTCATCATTCGGTCTTCCGCCTCTATCTAATACTTTTTCCAATGCAAATTATAAACTAAATTTTATTCATATATGTTTATCAAAAAATTAGTTAAAATCAGCTTAAAATAATAAATATGTAAAGCATTTTTTTTTCAAATATGCTCTTACTAATAAAGAAAATAAATAAAAGATACACCAAGTGAATCAAAGAGGAAAGAGAATATATAGAATAAAATTGACACACACAAAAAACTCATTAAATACTTAAACAAAAGTAAATATCATCTTATAAAAAAAATCAAACCCCCTTAATAAAATTTAATTCATATTTTGTACTGGAAGGAGCATATGATAAAATTAAAGGTGTGTTTAATACATAATTCACACCGACTCCCACCTCAAATCACATCTGCGACCCATTCAATCCCCCATCAGAGGAGAAGAATAGTGTCGGGAAGTTCAAAAGCGCCATAATCAATAGATTGTATGAGTGCCAAGTGTGACTAAACATTCCACTAGGTTTCCCTTGATTTACAGACCAAAATAGGATGGAAAAACAACCCAAAGTATTCTAACAAATGCTAGTAGCGGGTGAGATCGAGGGAATGCTCCTACCTACAAAGCTCTTGAAACAAGGAAAAACCGGAGAGCTTTTTATTCGCCCCAATATCCTCAATGTCTTCAGTAGCAATTTGCAGTTAATCAGCAATTACAATCAAGCCTCGGCAGATGCATTTTTATCATAATATTAGCAAAAGATCGAGATAATCCTCACAATAGGGGGAAGTTCTTTACACTCGTTGAGAAAACTTTTAAAATAAGATATTCTCACATGATTGCATCTCGACACTACTTCTGACGTGTGGCCTCCCCAAAACATCCGCCAGCTCAAAGGATGTGTATTAAAATCATATATTGTGAAATACGTCGATAATGAAACAGCCCCAGGCGCTTGCATCCGCAGGCAGATACAGAGTAAAACTGAATCTAGAATTATCAAAAATTTCTACCAGGAAGAACTCTGTCATTGTCTTTTAAGTGCATCCATCTTCTCCCTAAGGTAGTAGAGTTTGGCCCTCCTCACTCTCTTCTTCTCAAGAACCTTTATCTCCTTTATGTTTGGTGAATACCTACCAAACATTGCAGAGGTTAATGAAAACCAAATACCACTTTATCCGCACATCATAGCTTATCTACGGGCACATCCATCAAAAAGATGAGTAGTACTCACAGTGGGAAGAGAGATTCAATACCAACCCCAGCCACTAGCCTCCTGATTCTAAATGTAGTATTAAGACCGGCATTTCGCCTTGCGATCACGATGCCTTTTATGATTGAAACACGGCGCTTGTTCTCAGGAACTTCCTGTTGTCTCAGTTTATAAGGAAAATATCCAGTTAATATGTTGAACAGGACCCAGACATAGCAATAGTACTATATATCGTCAGGACAAAATCCCATACCACTTTGAGTTGCACTATGTAACCTGGTTGTATATCTGGTATCTCCCTCTGTGTTCTGACTTCCTCTACTGCTTCCTTATCTATAATCTACATGGCAAGATACCAACAATCTTTACAATGATAAAAAATAAAATACACTAATTTAAAAGGAAAAGAGTAGTCATATGCCTGCATAATGTGCTTAGCAGTTTTATCCAATCTTTTAAATTTAATGCGAGGAGGCACGTCAGAGACAGGAGCAGAACTGTCTTGAGAAGACTCAACGGAGTTTATCTGGGTTGACATAAATCTGGAAGAAAAATGAGGTGCAAACGCAGCAGCTTGGTGAAACAAACTCGATCTAGAATCTCCGAGTATTGTTGCTAAGCCATATCTGGACTCAATTCTTGAGAGGGTCACAGTCTGGGCGAATATCCTTGTCTGATGAAAATTTGAAGGCAGCAGATATCCATTAATCAGAGTTTAAAATCTGAGGTCCCACTATTTCAAAATAACTGGCCATTAATGTTAATAACATAGCACTCAAAATGACTCTAATTGCTTATTTCCTATTTAATTTGGTCATTCAATCAAGCACATATAACATGAACTAAACAACAGTTCATGCATATATAATATTAAGAAACTTTGTGGGAAACCGAAAGCGGTGCAAAATTGTTGGATGACGAGAAACCTTTAGGCCAAAAGCAAAGAAAGAACTTGAAACAGAATAAAGCAAGCAAAGGCTCTGTAAAACTAACTGTACATGAGGTCCAATCGCTTTGACTATCAAAATTGTGGTATCACTCACCAAGACCATAAAAGAAGACAAAATACAATATCGACATTAAAACCAATCAATTAAGAAGCTTATAGTCACAAAACAACAATGTAATTCAGGACCAGATTTTCTGCTGCTCTTCAAGAGCAGTTCAATGTGATACTATTATCTTTATAGCCGCTAGGTGCATCCAGTAGAACCATTTAAGCCATGTCCTTTCATGCATAAAAATGCTCAGTTTAATACCCACTCACCATTCACAGAATCCAGAACATCATCAAGTTAAGCTGAAGTACTTGATATCAGCTTCAATACCGACACAAAGTTCACATAATGCGAACAATAAAGTGTAACTATTACGTAACTGTCCATGACTTCGTTCAAAAACAAAGCTTCTTGGTTCAAATTTATTGGTATATCAGGTTATTATGATCATACAAAGTAACATATATCCCTTCGGAAAGCCCAGCAAAAATAGAACTCCTACATGCCTTCATTGTTGTAGTTACGTCCTCCTTATGCTTTCGCAAAGTGATAATCATTTCAGCCAGTTACACAAAACCCACCAAAAATGCGAGAAAAGCAAGGTAAAGAGGAGATAAAAGGGAATGCAATGCAACCCTCGCGTTGATTGTATCCAAGACCCATCATCTGGGGGGGGGGGGGAATAAGCTTTCAAATAATGCCGCAAAAAATCGATAGTGATTAATGGAAAACCACGGCATATACAGTATCCTCATCGCTGGAGACTGATGATGGCAATGATCAAGACGAGTACGAAGAATGTAAAACAGGGACAGTTTTCGACGACTGAGGAGAGCAAAATTTGGCTGAACAGGATGGATTAGATGCATATCATGACCATAAACTACAGAAACCAATAGCACTTACAGATTGCATCAAAGAAGAAAGAGCGAAGCAACAAGTCTAACTATGCATATCTGAGACAATAAAATACTTAATTATTCTTTTTTAACCAGTAAATATTTAATTATTCAGTAAACCAGAAATTCCAAATCATCATAGAAATGAAAATATCGCTGCTTTCCCCACATTTTACACAGCAGTAGCACCATCAGATCGCAATGAACACTGAACTTTCTTTGAGAATGAAATGGAGGCTTACACTGATAGAGAAACTACGAGAGTAAGCATCTGAGGAAAAGAATCGGATGTCCGAGCTCGTAACTTGAGACCCCAAAGGAGATCGACCAATGGATGATCGGAGCGATGACAGGAGCCTGCGTGAAGCCATTGCGAAGTCGAGATTATTTCGTCGCCCAGTGAGGATGAGAAAGAGAGGGGTTAGGGTTTAGAAGGCGCTCACGTGCACCGCACGAGTCCACGGCTTCCATTAAGGCTTTGTTTGGTTGGGGTTTTTTTGAGGGGAGAGGAAGGGAGGGGAGGGGAAGGGGATGGGAGGATGTGTTTGGTTGGGAGGAGGGGAGGGGAGGGGAGCTAAAAAAATTTGTCCTTTTGTGCTCCCCTCCCCTCCCTCTCCTCCCCTCCCAAATTGGGGTTTTTGGAGGGGAGAGAAATATTATGAGAATCTTGACAAATATGTCCATGTCATTTTTTGAATATTCCAGTGGTGTCCTCTTGATATTTTTTTGGCGCATTTCTTTTCGCGGTCGCTCAGTTATATACACGCACAAATATAATATGCATATATATTAATATATTAATTAATTATATATATATATATATATATATTAATTATAAAATGACACTATTAATATCATATATATTTTTTATTTTCTAATATGTGGAGGGTATTATTATATAGTTAAGGTCTTGTCTTTTTTTTTTTCTCCCATTCACTTTTTTCATATATATTATACTTTTATTTCATATTTTTTTATCACATATAAGTGAGGTAATTGGTTTTTTTGAAATTGATAAATTAGGAAATCATAATTTTGATATAAATATTATAATAAAAGAATAAATCAGTCTAAATATAAAAATAGGGGCATATTTGTCAATTTATAATCTCCTCCCCTCCCCTCCCCTTGTGAACCAAACAAGAAATCTCCCCTCCCCTCCCCTCCCCTCCAACCAAACAAAACCCATTATCTCCCCTCCCCTCCCCTCCTCTCCCCTCAATTAACCTCCCCTCCCCTCCCTCCATTGAACCAAACAAAGCCTAAGGCACTAACGAACCATTAACCACGAACCAGTTTAAAAAATTTCCCTATTCTTTACTGCAAATGAACTATTGAAGTATTGGCGTGTTCCTCTCTTATGTTTAAATTGCAAATTTTTTTACCTCAAAAAATAATACATACCTTTTTAATTCTAAATATAACAACTAAATAATTTGCAGTTCAAAAAAAACTAAATAAT